CAACCTTATGAGACAGTTATTGTTATTTTACAGACAAGGAAACTGAGACACAGGTTAAAGCAAGCTGCCAAAGGTCACAATCAAGAAACTGGCAGAGATAGGATCTTAAATACAGGCAGACTAGTCTGATTCTGGAGGCTGCTATTGAACATAACACACTGTTAGACAAACTCATTAGAAGAAAGAGGAAGAGAGGGGAACATGCTAAGGATAGACCTTAGGAGATACTTATTTTCTAAGACCTGGGAGAAAAGAATTTAGAGGCATAGTCAAAGGAAGCAGTAGAACTATGAGAACACAGTGGCACTGATGGCAAGGAAGTGGTTTCATGGGGGAAAGGAGTGGTCAACAAACATTTAAGATAATGTGAAGTGAAAAATATAAGGGAGAAAAAAGATCCTAGAATAATTCAGAGGTTGATATACCTAAGACAAAAAAATGCTGCTAGTATTTTTTTTTTTTTTAAAGATTTTATTTATTTGACAGAGAGAGAGAGCACAATTGGGGGTGGGTGGGGAGCGGCAGGCAAGCAAGGGGAGAGGGAGAAGCAGGCTCTCTGCTGAGCAGGGAGCCCGATGCAGGGCTCGATCCCAGGACCCTGGGATCATGACCTGAGCCGAAGGCAGTCCGTTATATAGCATTTCTAAGATTCTTTTGGGAATCTCTTTCTTCTGTTAAATTGAAGGGAAAATAAAATAACAACCCTTATTTTGCCCTCAGGGATCAAGGGGTGGCGTGGGTGAGCTGGAGTTGCAGATAGGAGAATGTGTTCTAGAGAAATTGAAGGAAGATCAGTTTGACCCTAGATGTGTTCCCTATCCCTTTGAGATTATGACTTTTCCCCACTTCCTGTTTCTCTGACAGGAGCCTACATGTTGCAGAAGCTGATTGAAGAGACAGATAGGTTTGTAGTGTTCACAGAAGAGGAGTCAGGTGTGAGTGACCAGTTGTGTGGCATTGCTGCCTGCCAGACGGATGACATATATAACCGAAACTGCCTTATTGAGCTGGTTAACTGCCAGGTAACTTTGCTTTACCAGAGCACCCCTACATTGGGCTAGATCATAGTATGGGTTTGTTCACCTTCTCCCACCACCGAATAAGAATGAGCAGACAGAGCCTCAAAAAATTATTCCTTCCAACAGGTATCCAGGATAATCACTTTCATGCCTAAAACCATAGCATTCACTCAGTAAGCCAGAATTAGAACCAGCTGTAGTCATTGGTACAATCCTTTCACTAACCTTCTCACCTTCTCTGGTGGCCCTTGTGCTGTGATTCTGCTTCTGTCTATGGTATAGATGGTTCTTCGTGGAGCAGAGACAGAAGGCTGTGTCATTGTGTCAGCTGCCAAAGCTCAGCTGCTGCAGTGCCAACATCATCCAGCTTGGTATGGTGACACGTTGAAGCAGAAGACATCCTGGACTTGCCTACTGGATGGCATGCAGTACTTTGCCACCACTGAAAGCAGCCCCACTGAGCAGGATGGCCGACAGCTCTGGTTAGAGGTTAGTCAGTGGAACTGGGAAGGCCCATTATAGTCCCAGTTTTCCATATTTGGCTCCTTCCGGCAGACTACTTGCAAGATTCCGGATAGTACCTGTTGCTACCAGCTTAATAGAATAATGAAGCTGGTGATACCTTGAATGTAGGAATTGTAGGCAGTCTCTGATTTGTGGTCTCTGAGCACGTAGTGCCTTTTTTTTTAATCTCTTGCTATTCTTTTTCCTTTTTTTTTTTAAGATTTATTTGTCAGAGAATGAGCAGGGGGAGCAGCAGGCAGAGGGAGAAGTAGGCTCCCCGCTGAGCAAGGAGCCCGATGTGGGACTCGATCCTAGGATCCTGGGATCATGACCTGAGCTGAAGGCAGACGCTCAACCTACTGATCCACCCAGGCGTCCCTCTTGCTATTCTTTTTCATTGCAAAGGAAATTCTCAATTCCCAGCACTAGAATAAAGTAGGTTGGAACTTTTTTACTTTTGAGAAGATTGCTGACCCCTGCTAATAAAGCACACTAATCAGTGGGCAGCCAAGAAAACAGGCAGTAAGTTTGAGAACTTGAGATGAATTCTCTATCTGCTCTTTCTCTGATTTATGAAGCTGGTCGATTGGTTATTTCAGCAAAGCAGTATGGTTGAATAGAAAGGTTGCTTGTCTAGGAGTCAGATGCCACCTTTGCTATTATAGTAGCCACAAGCCCTTGAGCGAGTTACCGTTATTTGTAAAATTGAGTTAATACTTCTCCCCTCACAAGATTATTGAAAGGATTAGTGAGAGTGCTTTGAAAAATACAAAGCTTCATTTAGATGGAAAATAATCATACCATTTTTAAAAAGTTGTTATGTGAGGGAAGGTCTAAATGTGTGTCAAGATAATGTTTTGTTAGATGGTGGAATTGTGAGCAGTTGGTAGGGACCAGGCTGTAGATTTTCTTTTTAGCTTAGTAAAACAATTTGCATTATAATTTCTAGGATATAATATCATAATTACTGGGAGCTCTAATAGTTTATAAGATACCTAGCCAATATTCTGCATTGTTACTACTTGCACACGTGTGAGGTGTCCACATTGTGCTGGGCATGGTACCCCCAAATGAGTTACTGGATCCATGTACCTCTGTTAAGCACCAATATGATAACTTCGTTTGCCATCATACTCCATGGGGAAAAAGCTAATCCCTCTTCCCTACCTGATACTTCTTACCTCAACAGCCTTAGGGCTCAATCCAAGCAACCTCAGGTGTAATTACATCCAAGGTAATCATTTAATCAGATGTCAGGCCAAATAAGGGTCAGATTGTTGGTAATATGAGAGGTCATGTAATATATCATATTACAGCTGTGGTTCAAGCAAGCCATGTTCTTTACCAGTAGTCTCAGGAGGTAGGCACAGAAGATATTAACTACTCAGGCAGAGGTGGGCAAGATGAGCTATGCAAGATCTCTCTAGCATTTTCTGGGCCTCTCCTTCTCTTAGGCACGCCTTCTTTTGCATGTGAACCCTTTTTTCCCCCTTAGGCTGTGATATTAGCATTAGAATAGAATGTTTTTGGCTTAGATGGGAGGGACTTTGTGGTTTTTTTTTCTTTTAAGATTTTATTTATTTGAGAGAGAGGGAGAAAGTGTGCTTGCCTGTGCACGGGTAGGGGCAGAGGGAGAGAGAATCTTGAGCAGACTCTGTGCTGAATGCTGACCCTGATGTGGGGCTCAATCCCACAACCCTGAAATCATGACCTGAGCTGAAACCAAGAGTCAGATGCTTAACCAACTGAGCCACCCAGGAGCCCTGATACTAGCCATTTTGGTGTGAAGTGGTTTTGATTTGCATTACCCTGATGAATAGTGATGTTGAGCATCTTTCTATGTTTCTGTTAGCCATCTGTATGTCTTTTTTGGAAAAATGTCTACTCAGGTCCTCTGCCCATTTTTAAATTGGATTAGTGTTTTTTTGGTGTTGAGTTGTAGGAGTTGCTTACGTATCATTTGCAAATATCTTCTCCCATTCAGTAGGTTGCCTTTTCGTTTTGCTTATGGTTTCCTTCACTGAATTGGGAGGGGACTTTGATCTTGCCTTTCTTACGAATTTTTTTGTGACTTGGCAGATTTGCTTATGGTCTTCCCATATCACTCATTCTATTACCCATTTTGACTTCAGCTTAGCGGAGAGAGTCAAAAGAATTCATAGCGACAGTGTCAGAGTGAAGACAGAAAACAGCAAGAATACAAACACATGAATATCAAAGTGGGTGGGAAAGTCATTGTTTTTTTGTTTTTTTTTTAAAGATTTTATTTATTTATTTGACAGAGAGAGACACAGCGAGAGAGGGAACACAAGCAGGGGGAGTGGGAGAGGGAGAAGCAGGCTTCCCGCTGAGCAGGGAGCCCGATGCGGGGCTCGATCCCAGGACCCTGGGATCATGACCTGAGCCGAAGGCAGACGCTTAACGACTGAGCCACCCAGGCGCCCCAAGTCATTGGTTTTGATGAAATTTTTTGTGCTTAACATGATTTGACTTTTCTTCCCCAATTTTTTTTATGTGGTAAAATACATATAAAATTTACTGTTTTAACCATTTTTAAGTGTAAAGTTCAGTGGTGTTAAATACATTTATAATGTTGGGGCACCTGGGTGGCTCATTTGGCTAGGCGACTGCCTTCGGCTCAGGTCATGATCCTGGAGTCCCGGGATCGAGTCCCGCATCGGGCTCCCTGCTCAGCGGGGAGCCTGCTTCTCCCTCTGACCCTCCCCCCTCTCATGTACTCTCTCTCTCTCTCTCATTCTCACTCTCTCAAATAAATAAATAAATCTTAAAAAAAAATACATTTATAATGTTGTTCATCACTACCATCCATCTCCATGACTCTTCATCTTGTGAAACTGAAATTCTACCCATTAAACAATAACTCCCCACCTCCCCTTTCCAGTCCTTGACAACCACCATTGTACTTTCTCTGTCTCTATAATTTTGACAATTCTTAAGTACCTCATATACGTGGAATCATATAGCATTTGTCTTTTTGTGACTGGCTTATTTCACTTTCTATAATCTCTTCAAGGTTTATCTGTGTTGTATCTTTTTATTTTTCTTAAGAGAGGGAAGGAGAGGGAGAAAGGGAGAGGGAAAGAGAGAGAGAGAGAGAGGCAGGCAGGGGGAGAGGCAGAGAGAGAATCTTAAGCAGACTCTGTGTACAATGCAGAGCCCAATGCAGGGCTTTATCTCACAACCCTGAGATCATGACCTGAGCCAAAATCAAGTCAGATGCTTAACCAACTGAGCCACCCAGGCGCCCCTAGCATCTTCCTTTTTAAGAGTGAATTCCATTGTGTGTGTATATATATATACCACATATTGCTTATCCATTCATCTACCAATGGATATTTGGGTTGCTTCCATATTTTAGCTCTTGTGAATAAGACCATATGAACATGGGTATACAAATCTTTTCCAGACCCTGCTTTCAGTTCTTTTGGGTATATATCCAGAAGTGGAATTGCTGGATCATATAGTAATTCTATTTTTAATTTTTTGAGGAATTGTGCTTGACATATTTGCCACAGTACCATTATACCATTTGACATACCCCCAGCAGTGCACAAGGGATCCAATTTCAGCACATCCTTGTCAACACCTGGTACTTTCTCTTTTTTTTTGATAGCCATCCTAATGGGTGTGAGGTAGGACAGGATTTAATTTTAACCTAGCTTGCTTTTCTGGCCTCAGGCCTGCAGGTCTGGCAAATGTGCATATAACTCATTTGGCTTTGGAGAATTTGGGTGGTTTGGGCCAGGAGAGAGTCATATATGTCTTCTACCCTGGGAGATCCCTCAAGCTATTCCAGGCAGTGGAAGTTTGGATAGTAAGTATAACTACTTGCATCATAGAGATCTGTGACCCAGTTGGCTAGGAGTTAAAGGTACCTGTATCTCTGTCTTCAGGTAAAGAATATCGAGGAGCACCGGCAGCGTAGTCTGGATTCTGTGCAGGAGCTGATGGAGAGCGGGCAGGCAGTGGGAGGCATGGTTACCACCACCACAGGTCAGCTTTCCCTTATTCTACATCATGTGGTTAGGAGCAGATGTGCATTTTCTTACATACTCTAAGATTAACATATGCTGGAGTAGGACCATTTTGTGTTAGGCTAGGTTGAAAACAAGTGTCTGGAGTTCCCTAGACATCACACATAGCCAGAAGGCTCTTACAGTACCTCTATTGAGAATGTCTCTTATCTCTTTCCCATCTCTTTCCAGATTGGAACCAGCCAGCTGAGGCGCAACAAGCCCAGCAAGTCCAGCGGATCATTTCACGCTGTAGCTGCCGAATGTACTATATTAGTTACAGCCATGACATTGATCCTGAGCTGGCAACTCAGATTAAACCACCTGAGGTCCATGAGAACCAGGAAAAGGAAGATCTCCTAAAGAAACAGGAAGGTATTCAGGGCTTGAAAGGCTTTTAGAAGGGGACTAGGGAACTTGTGAAAGTAGTTACTTTCTTAGTGCTTTTAAGTCAGTAGTGTTATTAGAAGTCCCACTGTGTACTGGCATTAATGGTTTCACTTTGCTCTGCATAATGTAAGTTCTGCTATAAGAGAATAAACTGTATTTTTGGAGGGAACTGGGATGAATGGGTATTATTTGATTCTAAAATAAGCAAACATATTTCTCCCGTGAGCATCTCTCACTAATCCGTTTTATGGGGTTAACTAACAGGAATGGTTCCAAATACAGGTTAGAAGATGGGGTAGATATTTAGAGAGAACCTTGAGTTTCTTACTTGCCTGCTAACAATTACGTAGGGGCTGTGGATACCTTTACCCTTATTCATCATGAGCTGGAAATCTCCACCAACCCGGCTCAGTATGCCATGATCCTGGACATTGTCAACAACCTGCTGCTCCATGTAGAACCTAAGCGGAAGGTGAGCATGGGCCCTTATAGAATGCCAGTTAGCCTCACAGGAACCCACAGACCTTGTGCTTTATTCAGTGAGAAAAGCCATGCTTCAAACTGAAAAAGGACCTTGTGGTTGGTTATATCCTCTGTTAGTCAATAGCAGCTGTTGAAATTTCACTTACCTAGGAAAGGTCTGAGTGTTCCAGAGACTGTAGCGCTTGTTTACTTCGTTGTTTTTCTTAGTCAGTTCTCAGTCACTTTGATACCTCTAAAAACAGTAAGTAGTCCCCACTATCACCTCCATCCCTACCCTGTGGGACTGGCTTACTGTGAAATCTTTACTACTTCTGCATGGGCCTGCCTCTTAGACTTGCTACTAATGGTGACAAATACAGGTAAGCTTTCCAGAAGAGATCCATATTCCTTGTTACTTTCTCTGTTTCACTTTACTGCAGGACTTGTCTATTAAAAAATCTTGTTCATTTCCTTTTCCATTCATTCAGGAGCACAGTGAGAAGAAGCAGCGGGTGAGGTTCCAGCTTGAGATCTCTAGCAATCCTGAGGAACAGCGCAGCAGCATATTACATTTGCAGGAGGCTGTGCGGCAGCATGTGGCTCAGATACGGCAGCTGGAAAAGCAGATATATTCTATTATGAAGGTAGTTACCAGGGCAGTCTGAGAAGAGGGTGTTCTCCTAGGACAAAGGAGCTCTCCTCTCAGTTTCTCCTGCCCTGGCTCCCTAGTCTTTGCAGGATGACAGCAAGAACGAGAACCTGCTTGACCTGAACCAAAAGCTTCAGTTGCAGCTAAACCAGGAGAAGGCCAATCTACAGCTAGAAAGCGAAGAGCTTAATATCCTCATCAGGTGCCACAGCATTCTTTCTCTGCCTTTTCCAGTGCCCCACCTAGGGTTGATTTCTCTTCCTTGCCCGTGTTATGATAGTCTTTAGGTCTAGTGTGCATCATCAAAGGCTGATGTAGATTTGGGTACTTCCTGAATGAGCCTAGCTGGACTTGGCCAAAAGACTGAGAATAGAAGAGCCCTTCCTTTGGCTCTTCATTAGAGTACCTCCTAGGAAAGGAGAAAACCAGATAGTTTGGAAAGATCACTTTTGTGGTCTTGCTACATGCAGGTGAACTGAAAATAAAAGGTCTTGAAGTTGATCAGTAAGGAGCACCATTGCAGATACAATTGTAGGGGTTTGTTAGTGGGCAGAGACTACTTTATTAGCTGTGGGGGCTGCCTGGCTGGCTCAGTCAGTAGAGCATGCCACTCTTGATCTCAGGATCATGAGTTCAAGCCCCACGTTGGGTGTAGAGCTTACTTAAAAAAAAAAAAAGGCAGCAGCAGCCGTGGAACTAAAAGATGGGATTTATTCTCCCAGGCCCCAGGTGTGGGAGCAATGAATCTAGTGGAAAAAATTTAGGGAATACCTGTTCCAAAATAGGTCCATCTCTGGGTTTACTTCCTGCATCATTCTAGAGCATCCCACCCCACCCTAACCCAAATGCTGTTACCCTTATTGGCTTTGGTCCTCCTGTCCATTTATAGGTGTTTTAAGGACTTCCAGTTGCAACAAGCCAATAAGATGGAGTTGCGAAAGCAACAAGAAGATGTGAGTGTGGTACGTCGCACTGAGTTTTACTTTGCTCAGGCACGATGGCGCTTGACAGAGGAAGATGGACAGCTAGGAATTGCTGAACTGGAGCTGCAGCGGTTCCTCTACAGCAAGGTATCGGGTATATACAGTCATACAAAGGCAGCTGTATTGAGAGGCACTGACCTATCTCAGGAGTCTTAACTTACAGAAAGAGATACAAACAGACTAATTATTATATGATTACTGATGACGGTATTGATGATGATAGACATTAGCATAGTTCCCCTTAGAACAATCATTTGTAGTATGAAATAACACAGATCTAGATGAGCTTGATCAAATGCTTCTTTCATTGAATAAGATTATCCCTAGAAATATGGCCCAGAGGGAAGTAATCTTCCAAGTCCAGCTTGGAATAAAACTGTTAATTCTATACTGACATTCAGCTTTCCTGCAATAAATAGCCAATGGCATGGAGGAGAGGACATGATTCATTATTCCACACCCTTTCCCTCTGGGAGTTTGGAAATATGTGAGACCATTTCTGAATATCACAGTGACTGGGAAGTGCTACTGGCACTCAGTGCCCTCGCCAGTAGTGCCCATGAGAAACACTGGATTAAAGGTTGAATTGATTGTATGAAATTGAAAGGGATACCAAAGGTTGGGATTAAACATATGGAGAACCTGAAAATAGGACATGTAGCAATTCTCTAGCAAGCTCCTGAGAAAGGCTTATTATAGCATATGGGGTCGGGGGGTGGGAAATCTTTTTATAGGTGAATAAGTCTGATGACACAGCAGAACATCTTCTGGAGTTGGGCTGGTTCACTATGAACAACCTTCTCCCCAATGCGGTCTATAAGGCAAGTCTTATTTCCCCATTCCTGCCCCATTCTCATGCTTCCTAACACAGGGCATTTGTAAGATTTCACTTATTTCAGAGAGAGAGAATGAGAGAGAGGAGGGGCAGAGGGAGAGGAAAAGAGAGAATCCCAACCAGACTCTGTGATCAGCATGGAGCCCGACACAGGGCTAGATCTTATGACCCTGAGATCGTGACCTGAGCGGAAATCAAGAGTTGGATGCTTAACTAAGCCACCCAGCCACCCCCTAACACAGGGCATTTGTAAGGGCCCTTCCACATAAATCCAGTGTGGGAAGCAGTGTGGTGATCTGAGAGGTTGAAAGCTTGCTCAGCTTAGCAAGACCATTGCTTTTCCTCTTAGTCTGAATGGATTTGAAAGTTGATTTATCGCTCTTTATCCTATAGGTAGTCCTGCGGCCCCAGAGCTCCTGCCAGTCTGGGCGACAGCTGGCCCTCCGCCTCTTCAGCAAAGTCCGGCCCCCTGTTGGGGGTATTTCTGTTAAGGAACACTTTGAGGTTAGTATACAGTCCTTTGGGAATCCAGAAACAAAGGGCAGTCAAAAGCTATCTGTGTTATTATGCTACATTAGGGGTAGGTAAACTGAGGGATGATGTCTGAGCTTAATTGCTTCTTCAGCCTTTTTCCTCTTTAGGTAAATGTGGTGCCTCTCACCATCCAGCTGACACACCAGTTCTTCCATAGAATAATGGGTTTTTTCTTTCCTGGCCGAAGTGTGGAAGATGATGAGGTTGGAGATGAAGAAGATAAGTCCAAACTGGTGACTACTGGTGAGAACTTTTATGGTGGAGCTCCAGAAGACTGGGGTAGCAGCCCCAGAGATAGCTAAAGCTTCAGAAAGAGGATAGCAGCTGGTATTCTTGCTTTTTCATAGGAATACCAGTGGTGAAGCCTCGGCAGCTGATTGCAACAGATGATGCAGCACCACTGGGCCCTGGAAAGGGTGTGGCACAAGGCTTAAATCGGAGTTCTGGCGTCAGGAGGTCATTTCGGAAAGTACCTGAGGTACCACACATGCCCCTGATGATGTAGAGATGGGAGAGTTCTGGGGTTCTCTGTTTGGCCCAGCAGGGGATTTCTTCATTCTTTTCCAGGGATGAAAGGAGATGGAGATGTTTGGGGTCCTAAGTTTCTTCTGGTGGTTTCAGGGACTCACACTCCTTTCCTGCCTTTCCTAGCACCCTGTGGATGATATTGACAAGATGAAAGAGCGAGCTGCCATGAACAACTCCTTCATCTACATAAAGATTCCACAGGTTCCTCTGTGTGTCAGCTACAAGGTCTGCTCCTCCCTAGTACTTTCTAGAACAGCGTGGGAAGGGAACCAGATAAGACCAGAGATTAAAGTTAGACACAGCAGTCTAGTTTGTGAAGCTGGTATGTGGGGGTAATCTGTTCCCTCTGCTGCCTTCAGGAATCAGTACCATTACAGGATGAGGTAAAAGGGAAATCAGTATCTGTAAACTGCTGCTGTAGGAAAGCACTAGACTTGGACTCAGGTATTGCTTGAACTAAAAATGGCAGCTGATACATCTTTTGATTCTTCTTTTCTCTCCCCTCCCCCCACCTTGCAGGGTGAGAAGAACAGTGTGGACTGGGGTGACCTTAACCTGGTGCTGCCCTGTCTGGAGTACCACAACAATACATGGACATGGCTAGACTTTGCCATGGCTGTCAAGAGGGACAGCCGCAAAGCCCTGGTTGCCCAGGTATCCCGGCAGAGTTCGTGGCTGTTTGGTTAGCAGGGGCTGGCAAACAGATCCTGTGCTCAGGTGCATTTCATTCTAGGACATATGTAGGATAAGCAGCCTTGGAGATGGGCAGCTGAATGAAGTGAACAACTTATATCCCTACCCTCTCCATGACTTTGGTCAGATGATTAAATTAGATGTTTACTGAGTATTTCATATATGTTAACAGTTGATTTTTAGGAAACTGAGGGCTGACACAACTTCAGTTCAGAATGGGTTGTTGTTTTTTTTTTTTTAAAGATTTTATTTATTTGACAGAGAGAGACACAACGAGAGAGGGAACACAAGCAGGGGGAGTGGGAGAGGGAGAAGCAGGCTCCCCGCTGAGCAGGGAGCCCGATGCGGGGCTTGATCCCAGGACCCTGAGATCATGACCTGAGCCGAAGGCAGACGCTTAACGACTGAGCCACCCAGGCACCCCCAGAATGGGTTCTAATTAGACTGTAAGCTTCTTGAAAGCAGAGATCGTTTTATAATTTGAATTGCCCCACTGTGTCTTCATGTAAGCTTAATAAATCTTTATTGACTTGGTTCACATTGATTTATTCTGCCTGTACCACTAATATTTACCTTCCTTTTTACTTCTCTCTAACCTATCAGGTAATCAAAGAGAAGTTAAGGCTGAAACCTGCAACAGGGTCTGAGGTCCGGGGAAAGCTAGAAACTAAATCAGACCTCAACATGCAACAGCAGGAAGAGGAGGAGAAAGCCCGGCTCCTCATCGGTTTAAGTGTGGGCAACAAGAACCCTGGCAAGAAGTCCATCTTTGGCAGGCGCAAGTGATCCAGCATCCAAGAGTGGCTGCAGTACAGGATCTGACTCTGGCTCAGGCCCCAGGGACTTGTGGGGTGGGAGGCATTTCCCTTTACCTATCAGGATTTGTGGGGGGTCAGGAGCCCACAGGGTACTGTGGAGAGGGGCACTGCTCTTTTAGCAGCTGGCCTGTTCCTGCAGAATACAGTGGATAATAATGCTGAGTTCTACCTCGCACTGATCAGCAGGCCAAGGCCCAGAGAGGCATCAAGAGAGCAAGACCCAGGGAATGGGCCCAGGATCAGGATCTGGTTCCATTGGGGCTAACTGAAAGGGTGGGAGGGAGAGTTCTGATCAAGTGTGATAAATTTTTATAGACCTGTATATAAATATATACATATATATTTCTAAGTGTAACTGCTCTCCCTCTGTGCTAGAAAGTTGAGGGGAGGAGCCGATCTCCTATTCCTCATTCCACTGCCTTGTATGAGAGGTATATTAGGGTTCTGGGGGGGGGAATCAGCCCCTTCTCAATCTGTGCCAAGTTCACTTGGGAAGATGGCAATAGATGCCAGGGCTGGCCATGGGTCCCCTTGGGGTATGCCCTGAAGAATGGTAAGAAAACGACTTAAAGAGAAAAAATATATATATTTTAAATTTGATTTTTTTTTTTTTTTTGGTGTGTTAAGTGCATGGGTTTCAACCTGTCCCTCCCTCCCTCCCTATCAACCCAAGACATATCCTCTAGCTACCACTCTAATGAGTATGGCCTCTTCCCTCCTCTGTGAAACTATATCACAGATACTTCCCAGCTCTGGTTTGACACTGGCCTCCTAATAGGTCTCTGCACATTTTAGTGCTGGCTATGAGCCTATTCATAACTGGGGTGGGGGGATAGGATTTGGGGATAAGGGTGGGGTTTGGCTGCATCAACTTGTATCTCTAGTCATGAACGGCAAGAAGAGGCGGGGCTCATGTGTAATGTAGCATCAGGGGCAGGAGTTGCTTATGTAACTGGGACAGCAGATTTAGCAGGAGGAGAGGAGGCAGAGGCTTTGGATGGGAACAGTAAGCTGTCGGCAGGGGCAACATGCCCCAGTGGCTGCTTCTCATAAGGTAGGCTGTGGGGCTCTGGCAGCCTGTTTAGGGGAGGTTAAGGGGGCATGGTCTTAAGGCCTGGGAACTGACTGGTGAGGAGAATGTTAGTGATGCCCACTGTGGAGGTGGAACAGGAGGCTATGCTGTGAAAATATCCCAACCCCATACCAAGAGGCACAGGCTGAATCTCCGATGCCTCAAAGGGAAAATGTCCAAATACTGCTTTCCTAGAGGATCTGAATCATATCCAGGAAATCTAGGCCTTGGCCCAAAGCAAGGGTAATGGCAATTTTGCCTGGTGCTCAAAAATGTATCCCTAAGGTTGCGACTTGAGGGTATGCTTTCTGAGATGGGCAGAACTTGTAATGCCTCAAGGGCAGAGGTTTAGAGTGGCTCATCCCTTGGTTCTCAGCAGGGTGGCAACATCCGGGGTCCCTGGGTCCGAGGCTGGAAGAGCCTCTGGTCAGGTGTGGGGACTACCAGGTCAGGTGTGGAAGAGCTGTGGGGACTACGGGGGCATCAGTGCCTACACCAGGAGCCCCTGGAGCCGGCCCTGTTGCTAAAAGAGAAGCCTCTGTCTGAGTGGCCAGTGCCTCAGTTCGTCAACCTTTTTCTGCCGGAGTTTCCCATTAGGCCCCTTAAGGGGCATCACCAGCTGAAGGTAGGTCAGTCCCTGGAAGGGGTCTCAGTCTTGGGGAGACATCTAGGAATGGCCAGAGTTTCAATTATGCTATTCTCCATTTCTCTGTACAGATTTTAGGCCTTGTGGCTAAAGGCTCCTTCGGAACGGTCCTCAAGGTGATAGACTGTGGCCAGAAAGCAGTATTTGCAGTGAAGGTAGGGACCTAGGTACTCTTCCACATCATTCTCTAGTCCCTGCCTCGAATCTTGGTTCTATAAAGGTTTGGTAGGCATAAACAACCTGTAGGAGTCATCACTCCTCTCCTTTTATAGGTGGTGCCCAAGGTAAAGGTCCTACAGAGGGACATCCTGAGGCAGTGCAAAGAGGAGGTTAGCATCCAGGTATGCACAGAGCCCAGGAATGGATCCTAGGAAGAACTAAACCACAGGTGGCAACTGTCTTGCTCTTCCTGGTTCTGCCCGCCCCCCCTCTGCTTCAACCAAAGTAGATCCTGGGAAAAGTAGTTATCAGCAGTTAATTCTAGGTCCTTCCATGGAAATCTCTCCAGCATGTCCTGATGTGTTCCTCAGTATCATGCTGGTTTTGAGATTACCAGGCAGGCAGTCCCTACTTAGTTCACCTGAACTGAGAGGTGGGGCAGCAGCTCCTTTTCTGCATAACTAGGTAAATCCTGACTTCTTGGCTCCCTTGATCCTCAATGACCTCTTTCCTAACTTCTTGTTTTCTTCATTCCTAGCGACAGATCAACCATCCTTTTGTACACGGTTTGGGGGACAGCTGGCAGGGAAAACGGCACCTCTTCATTAGTGAGTGACTGGCCTCTCATTTCCAAGAATCCTTCTATTGTACTCCCCACCTGAGATTACCCATCCCTTTGGCTTGTTTTCCCTTTGCTCTTTCCCTTCTCAGAGCACTTCTCTCCCCGAAAAGGAGAGGGAACAACGGGTGGCATCAGTTTGGGCAAGAGGCCTAAAATGCCTTGAGCTCAGGCACAGTAACCCCAAATATTGCCTAGGCTTCTGATACTTTGCAGTGTGCAGCTACTGCAGTACAGACCTTTACTCCCTGTGGTCCTCTGTTGGCTGCTTTGCTGAGGCCTCCATCCGCCTCTTTGCTGCTGAACTGGTTCTGGTGCTGTGTAAGTGAAACAAGAATGGTAATGGAAATGAGGGAAGAATTAAGAGGGAGGGGCAGAGAGAAGAGATTTGATATTAACTCTGGAGGTCAAAGAACAGGGATAGGAATGGGATGGGAACTACCAGGGAATCTGGAAAGACAGGAGAGCTTTAGCACACCCCATACTTGTTGTCATCCACAGGCTATCTCCATGATTTGGGCATCATCCATCGAGATGTGAAGGTAGAGTTAAGTGCTTTTTTCTTTGTCTGAAGTGGGGCCTCAGTAAGAAGTTCCAACAGGTCTAAGAAGGCAGTGGGGAGCTGAGAACAGCTGACCTTGGGGCCCTCAGGAGTGCTAAGGATTTGGGCAAGGGCCATCAAAGTATAGGCCTGAATGATGAATAGGGCGTCTTCCTCAGCTGGGAGGTATACATGATGAAAGAAGGTTGAAAGGAAGAGCATGACTAATAACTTATCACCTGTGATTTTTCAGATGGAGAATATCCTTCTGGATGAACGAGGTAAGTCCTTTTCTTTTCCTAGCCCCAGAATGAGAGGACCCTCAGTTTGGGAAGGAGTCATGGCTGCTGAGGGGAGGAACAGAGTGGTGCTGTTGCCTTCTCTTTCACAGGCCATCTGAAACTGACAGACTTTGGTCTGTCCCGCCACCTGGCCCAGGGAACCCGAGCCTATACTATCTGTGGCACTCTTCAATACATGGGTGAGACAGGTGCTAAAGCTGGCGGGTAAACAATGGCAGGAATCTAGCCAATTGATGTCAATGAAACTGTCTTTCAAATCTAGCCCCAGAGGTCCTGAGTGGAGGGCCTTACAACCATGCTGCTGATTGGTGGTCCCTGGGTGTCTTGCTTTTCTCTCTGGCAGCTGGGAAGGTGAGAGAATGGTAGGGATGTTGGGCAGAGAGAGGAGCTTTGCCCTGTAGTGGGAAGAAGACCTTAGGAAATCTTGCCTCATTCCTACCAAGCAATGACACCGCCCCCCCCCCCAACTCAGTTCCCAGTGGCTGCAGAGAGAGATCATGTGGCCATGTTGGCAAGTGTGACCCACTATGATTTTGAGATCCCAGCTTCTCTTAACCAGGGGCTCTCACTCCTGCTCCATGAGGTAAGGGTGAACACTATTTTCCTTCTTGACTACCAAACCATTCATTCTCTCCTTTCCCTATCACTGAAGTGTTATTTCCCCATTTCTCTAATAATCTGGCTGGGATGGGGGTGTGCTCCAACTTGATCAAGTACCACCTCACCACTTGCCCTCTAACCAGCACTTTAAATTTCAGTTCTGAGTTCCTCATCCTTCAAATATCCTCCCCATCCATAACAGGTCACTTCTGAGAGAGGGCCAGTGCTACTCTCTTACCAACACAGCACCTTTATTCCCACCTTTGCTCCCAAATTAGCCTGTTTCTATCTCTTTCAAATCCTCTTTAGGATTCTTCCTGCCCTCCACAGCTTCATGAACTTCTTTTCCAGCTTTTCTGTTTAGCCCCCTTCCTATCCCAGTCCCTCATCCTTCATGATCTATTTGCCTTCAGCTCTTATGCCAGAATCCCCTCCATCGTCTGCGTTACTTGCATCACTTCCAGGTCCACCCTTTCTTTCGGGGTGTGGCCTTTGACCCAGAGCTCCTACGGAAGCAGCCAGTGAACTTTGTCATGGAGACACAAGCCACCCAGCCCAGTCCATCGGAGTCCATGCTTTTCAAGGATTTTGACTGTAACCTGGAGTCCTACCTGGTCCATCCCAGCCTTGCTTGAGCCCCTCTACTGTAGATTTGGGCCCATCTGGGAACCTGAGAATTTCCTCCACTGCCAACTCAGTATGACCACTTTGATGATCCAGTTTGTTTTTAATATGTAGCCTCTTACCATTCTGTTCTACTTGTTGGGCCAGAGTTCAAATCTTGGCCCTCCCCCTCCCCCACGAATACAACCCACCTCTCAATTCAACATGTCAGATCAGAGTGTTGACCTTTTCCTTTACTTCATTTCTCCAATGCTCATACCCTGAAGCTTTCAGCCAGAGGCTTATTCTACTTTTCCCATTCCTTGTCTCTCTGCTATATTTCCTTTACTTTTTTTTTATTTATTAGAGGGGGGAGGGGCAGAAGGAGACAGAATCTTAATCAGGCTCCATGCCCAATGCAGAGCCTGATGCGGGGCTGTCTCACAACCCTGAGATCATGATCTGAGCTGAAATAAGGAGTTGGATGCTTAAATGACTGAGCCACCCAGATGCCCCTGCCATATTTCCTTTCTTGAGCAGTAATGACACTTCATGGGGTCTCAAGGTGCTATTTATGTGTTTTTAATAGGCTTGTTAGAAGCAGTATGAATGTTTTTCAAAGGTCTCATAAGCTGGCATTTTAACCCCTAAATATGCAGCTAAAACGTACCATCTGGGGGCTCAAAGCCAGTCTGTAATAAATCTAATTTTTAAAAATTTCAAAAGTGAATCTAATAGCCTAATGTGAGGAAAAGGAACTGAAACAAATGTGGGTTAAATGCCTTTTCTAGGGCTGATAGGGATAGCTATTGAATTTTTTTCTAAAACAATCTCTTCAAAAGACAAGATTCTTAAACTGATCATTTCCCTAGATAGCCTAGGATTCAGTTTCTGATGGGCAAACCAAGGGATTAAGAGGCATGACATCAGCCTTAAGATTTAAGGTTAGATGTATTTCAAGAACCTTTTCCTTTAGTAAGGAAAATCATCTGGACCTTAAATTTGTATATATTTCTGGCCTTTACTGACTTCTTTTCATTTTTCTTTAACTGCTCAAAACCTTCATTAAAAAAATATTTATTTATGTATTTAAGTAATCTCTACACCCAATGTGGGGCTCAAACTCACAACCCCGAGATCAAGAGTCGCATGCTCTTCTGACTGAGCCAGCCAGGAGCCCTTCAAAATCTTCATTTTTATTATTCTTCAGTTATTTTTGATCTCTCTTTGCAGACCAAAGAGAGTCTGGAACAGCCTGTATACTTGTGTTTATTAATTCTGTTCCCTGGATTAAGCCAGATTTTCCCTGTACATAGCTGGCATTTTATTGGCCTCTGCAAAATTGCTTTTTCTGGATTGTACTTTGGCAATCTGTAGGAAAATCCCTATGAAATTTAATTGCTATGGATATATTGTGAAGGGTGTTCATTACAATTCATAATGTTCTGTATAAGGATGCATGGGAGAAATTTCTCCTGGACCCAGCTGTGCTTTTCCTGAATCGCTGTTTGGTTTTACCTTAAAGACACTAAATATTCAACAGACTGTATTTTTCTCTTCATATCAATGCTAGGCCACTTAGAGCCTAATTTGCAGTCCACTTCCACCAAGTGTTTAGGACTTCATGTTGTATATTTTGTATGCTAGCCACATTCTTGATTCCATCTTCCTTTTCTACCTTTATTTTCTTTTTATTATCTGCATCTTTGCAAGCCTTTTTGGAACAAGGCTGGGATATACATGAATAAATAAATGTAACATTAATCCTTTTGATTATCTCATTTGTTTCTCTTTAGATACTTTTTTAGCTTTACATTTTTTTTTTTTAAAGTTGTAGTGACCAGAACTGCATATTGGATAAAAACTCTGAATACTAGAAATAGGAATTAATGGTTTCTAAAGTAATTAAGAGTATTAGACTGGTGCTTAGATCCACCAATAACTATCTCAGAGTCTTTACACAAGTTATTTTAACTTCTCTGGATCTTAGTTTCCTATATATAGAAATGAGGGGGTTATAATCACTGGTTCTCGGTTGTCAGCGGGGGGCTTTAGAGTCCTGTGATGCTTTTTTATTTATTTATTTATTTTTTAAAGATTTTATTTATTTGAGACAGAGAGAATGAGATACAGAGAGCATGAGAGGGAGGAGGGTCAGAGGGAGAAGCAGACTCCCTGCCAAGCAGGGAGCCCGATGCGGGACTCGATCCCGGGACTCCAGGATCATGACCTGAGCCGAAGGCAGTCGCTTAACCAACTGAGCCACCCAGGCGCCCCGTGTGATGCTTTTTTAAAGGGCAGATGTAGATGATTTTATGATACTGGTCCAGTGTCTGGTCCAGTGTTAATTAATATTCAGGTCACCTAACATTATATAGTCTCTCTGGTCACAGCAGCATATTGGGTTAAGGTCTTTTGGACATGGTTGACATGTCACTAGGGTCCCTTTCTTAGGAAATATTAGGTAGCTTTGGGACCATAATCATGTAAGTGTAACTTGAATCATTTATCAAATGTGGACATTTTTAAGGTACTCTATTCATAATCAGTGGGGCACTATAGCAGTGATTCTCAGGGTAGAGTAGAGGGGGTGACCGAAAATCAATGTTTCAGAAAGTATAATTTGAAAAAGCCCCATCTTCACCCCTCAGTTTTGATATGTTCATCCCTGGAAGGCATTCTTTCCTGCCATCCTCCACCTCCATTTAGAATCACTGACCTATAAATATAATACCTTTTATTTATCCACATGAAATTCACTTAAAAATACTTTTATATACAACCTGATCTCTTTTAAGTTTAACTCTGTGCTTTTTCATTACCTAGAAGAAATCAGATATACGTATCAGTATGGATATTTTATGCTGTACTCCCTTCTAACTTTTCTAAGAATGTAAGATTAGTCTTAACACCAATGCTTATATTCTTCTAGAAAAGTGTCTTTGTAGTTCTACTCATTGTTTCTTACATCTGAGTTTCTTTACCATATATCGATTTGTTCATTTGTTCATTAATTTAGCAAATTAGTAATCACAATTCCTTAGTTACTTCTTTAAATAGAGTCTTCAATGTAAAAATCATGTCAAAGCTTTTTCAAAATAAAATCATACTCACTGCATTATTAATCCTGTTACGAGCTGAATTGTGTCTCCACTGCACTCCCCCTCCCTGCTTTCATATGTTGAAGTCCTAACCCCCAGTACTTCAGAATGTGACTGTATTTGAAGATAGTCTTTAAAGACGTAATTAAGTTAAAATGAGGTCATGTGGGTTGGCCCTAATCCAATGATTGGTGTCCTTATAAAGAAGAAATTAGGACACAGATACACAGAGGGAAGACCAAGTGAAGATACAGGGAGACAACAGCTATCTATAAGCCAATGGGAAAGCCTCAGAAGAAACCAACTCTATTGACACCTTGATCTCAGACTTCTAGCCTCCAGAATTGTGAGAAAATAAATTTCTGTTGTTTGCACCACCCAGTCTGTGGTACTTTGTTATAGCAACCCTAGCAAACTAATACAACTGCTATGATGAGTTCTAATAGATTAATCGGAATGATTATTTACAAAACATGCTACCTTACTCCCTATAGTTTGGTTTTGCTTATATTCTGTGAACATATTATTTCCATGAGTTTTGCGGTTTATGGAGCCCCACTGATTAGCAGTTGTCACACTGCCTCCTTTGTTCAGTACTCCCATCATACACATCATACACACATACATCATTCATTGTAGCAGGGCTACTAATTCCACAGTTTCATCCTTGAGTTCACTTAGAACTGCCTGGTGCATATGTCTCAGAGTTGCTGATTTGGGTTACGTATTTGGATTTTTACAAAATAAGTAATCTCTAATCCTAAAATTAAAAATTACAAGTGTTGGGGTACCTGGCTGGTTCAGTTGGTAGAGCATGCAACTCTTGATCTTGGGATTGTAAATTCGAGCCCCACGTTAAGCATAGAGATTACTTAAAAAAAAAAAAAAGTACAAGTGTTTTGAAATATTTGGACCCCTATTTCATAGCATATACAAAACTTAATTCCAGATACATTAAGAATTTAAATGTGATCGTCAAAACATTAAAAATTTTAGAACATTTGGGAGATTAGATCTACAATCAAGGGGTGGAGGAGATACCTAAACCAAGACAAAATGAAAGCACTATAAAAGAAAAACATTTACATAAAAATTTGAAGAATGACTCAATCAAGATGCTCTTAAACAACTCGACCGCATAAAAGTCTTATATGGGGACCCTTGGGTGGCTCAGTCGGTTAAACATCGGACTTCGGCCCAGGTCATGATCCCAGGATCCTGGGATCGAGTCCCACATCGGGCTCCCCCTATTTGTGCTCTCTCTCTGATAAATAAAATCTTTAAAAGTCTTATATGTAGGGGCAAAGATACCATTAATAAAGTCAATGGACAAAAACAGCTAAAAAAAATTTGTATTGTGATGACAGTTAAGGTCTATCACACAAAACTCTTACAAATTAGAACAGAAAAAATCTATTTTTTAAAAAACGGCAAGGAATATGAAGTGATAATTAATTACATCTGTATCAGTTGACGTAGAAGGCTCTATACAAGGGGCACCTGGCTGGCTCAGTTGTAGAGCATGCCACTCTTGATCTTGGGGTTATGAGTTCAAGCCCCATGTTGGGAGTAGTTTACTTTAAAAAAAAGGCTCTGTACAAGACATTGAATGAGGAAGAAAAAATGCAGAAGTGTAAGAAATGATGCCATTTTTGTAAAGAACTCAATGCCGCCTTCCCCTTCATGTGTGAGAGAACGTGAAAAAAATGGAAGGGAGAAAGGAGTAAGTACAAGTGGAGGAAAAAAAAAAAGACACTAGCCCTCAATCCAAGAGACCCCATTTGACATATTAATTTTGGGGAGAAAAATGTGTGTGTAAATAGACATACAGAATCTGTGTATGTGTATGCATATGTTACAAAGGTGTACACACTATTGAGTACCTCAGGCACGGAGAATGGAGGGGGGACGCTTTGCCTTTAATACATTTTTGCATTGCATTGTTTCACTTGCAATAACAGGTATCTATTATTTTTATAATTTGAAAAACACCAAATTTTAAAAATTATGCAAAATAACACCAACAAACATTCTATTTATGTTACCTATTTATAATGGTATTTTCCCACTCATCCACCCTTCCATATCCTTCCTGCTTTGCTACTGGAAGCACCATATCGTTTTGGCTACTCACTAGCATCTGACATACCAACTGCAACAAGGACTAAGCATTCCAATTCACACATTTCTATGATACAAGTTTTTACCAGTAGCGCTTAGTTTTGTTTTGTTTGTTTCTGCCACTCCCCACCCTTGTTTTATTTGTTGAATCTTTTTAATTGACCAGAAGTACATACACCTTGGGATACCCTCTGCTGAGTCTTGGGAAACCCCATGCTCAAGTTTGTGCTCTTACATGGTCTTTCTTCCAGTTTTCCATTCAAGCAACTGTTATCCATAGTGCCTGCCGGCTGGGACTGTTATGTTTCTAGAGCAGTGCTGTCCCATAGAAGTACAAGGTAAGCCCCATAAGTCATTTTAAATTTGCTAGTAGCCACATTGAAAAGGTAAAAAGAAACAGGTGAAATTAATTTTAATTTTAATATATTTTACTTAACCTAATATACCTGAAATACAACTTCAACATGTAATCAAGATTTAAAAATTATTTTATATTCTTTTTTCCATACAAAGTCTTTGAAATCCAGTTCGTATTTTACACCTATAATACATCTCAATTTGGACTAGCCACAGTTGAAGTGCTCAGTAATCACATGTAGCTAGTGGCCATGATATCAGACCACAGGAGCTCATCACCTGAGAGCTCATTACCTGAGAGCCCTACAGTTAGTTCATGACAGATTATAGTTCCTCCTCTTTGCATGATTTCCTTTTCCAAATTCATTAAGACTTCAGAGTGTAAATAAGGTACAGTGAGTGTTGCAATGAACACACTTTTATCACAAACTCTAAATACTTACCGTTAGGCTGTTTCCAAAAATCAATTCCACCTTCAATAGCTGACTTCTCATGGAGGGTATTCAAGCCCACAGGAGAATACAGTCCTGTAGTTAGTTGGTGGTATGGGTTGAAATCTCGACTCTGCCATTTACTACCGGCGGGGTATTGGGCCAGTTTCATTAGGACTCAGTTTCTTGTCTGCAAAAGGGTGATATTTACAGCACCTACTTCACAGGTCCTTAGGAGGATTAGAGGAGTTAATACAGATAAAGTATTTGGAACAGTGCCAGATACCTAATAGATGTTTAATACTTGTTAGAGGTTGTTCCCGTAAACTTGTAGCAGGCCCTGAGGTAAGTCTCAGGAAAACACGAGAAATTCCCAAGAGGCTAAATTCCAGCTCAGGCCACCCCCAACGCAGGGCCTACGCGAGCCGACCCACCAAGCCTCGTTACAAAACGCTCCACTCACCTCTCCCTTCCGCGCTCTTTCCGGTCAAGGCTGGGGCGCCAGGTAACTAAGGCAAACCTGGGGAGACACCTGAGGCCAGGCAACCGAGACAACTTTTCTGACAGGGTCTGAGGGTCGTCCACTGGAAGCGGGAGGGACAGACTTCTTGGCTCTCCAGCTACCTGGGTACCCGTCCCGAGGTGAGGCCACAAAACCGGCCTCGGGCCCGGGACGCTTCCAGCCCTCCAGCCCCCTCCTGCGCTGGCGGTGGTGGGGGTGTCGGTCGAGAGAGCTCGCGCGACCCGCGGGCCAGTGGGGGCGGGACCTCTAGTCCCCGCCCCCTTCCTTGGGCTCGAGCGGGGAGCGGACCGCTACGCCGACGTACCCAGGCTTCCGCAGCCAATCGAGAGGCGCGGCGCCGGTTCAAATAAAGACGGCGGGGGAACATGGCGTCTGCTCTTGGGTCTGGGAGGTGATTGACCGCGCGTTCTGTGGTGAAAATGTGGCGGGTGAAAAAACTGAACGTTAGCCTATCGCCTTCGCCCCAACCGGTGAGCAAGAGAACCTCAGGGACGGAGAGAGCTGGGTCGGGGCTTCGAGGCGGGGACGGCAGCAACGCCGAGTGTCCTGGAAAGCTGGGTCCAGCCTGGGGAAGGGGGTGTGTGTGTGGAGTCTATACTGGTCCTGCCGCTTCAGCGCGACTGGGGTGGAAGTCTACTCTTCCTATTGCCCCAGGAGCTTCTTAGAGAGGGGAAAAAGGGCCGGGCTGGCGCAGCCCAGGCTTTCTCATACTCTCCGCTTTCTCAGGGAAAACCAACTATGAGAACTCCTCTCCGAGAACTTATCCTGCAGCCCGGTGCCCTCACCAACTCTGGGAAAGGGCCCCCGATATGCTACTCGCCGACCTCATCACTGTGCAAGCTGGGATTGCAGGTGAGATTCGCCTGGCCAGCTTCTCGACTGGGCTCTTTGCCGAGGTCGAGAGCTCAGAGGAACAGAGGGCCAAGGCTGGAACGTAATTAATAACGATAATGAAGTCTTCTGCCTTGGTGACATCCATTTACAGCTATTCAGGCCAACAGAGAGGTGCCCTAGGGTGGTTAAAGGAAATCCACTGAGAACCCAGACCTCTATTTAGCTGTTAGTTTTTATCACCTCCTCCCGCGTTAAACCTTTACCAAGCTACTGAGAAACCCTGTCACTTTGATTAGTAGTTTCCCCCTAACGTGGGCTCATGCGCAGAGATCAGTCGGTTGCCACTGTGAGGCAACACCCACGTCCATTCCAAGAGGTAGTCAGAACTCTTCTGGAATCAAGTTACCCCACTGGAAGGCAGAGTACTTAGGCCGACTTCTTTTAAACTAGCCCCTTGTAGAATTGCCCTCACTGAGTTGTACTTTTGTCAAAAGTTATGAGAGAAGTAGCCATGTAGAAACTGCTTTTCAGTTGTCATAAAAACTTGCCAAGGAAGGAGATTGACCTCTCTATAAAATTCCTCAAAGAAACTTCTTTTAGAACTTAACTGCCTGGGATAATTGTCTTCCTGAAGAAATTGCTATCCTTTTCTCTTTCTTTCTGATAAGGAGAACTACAGAGTTTATGTATTTTCCCTCTTGCTCTGGCTTCTAGGGAGCTCAGGGTCAAATTTGATCATCAGATATATAGCTACTGTTACTCCTTGAAATAGAAAGATTTGCTTCCTTTTTCTTTTTTGACTGTGATTTTGTATCTCATTAACCTTATCTGTTGATCTATCTGTTCTTTTTCATGCAGCCTAAATTATTTGTAATATTTTTATTTTTAGTTATTTTTATTTTTTCTTTGGTAGGCTCCACACCCAAGGTGGGGCTCGAATTCAGGACCCCAAGTTCAAGAGTCACATGCTCCACCGACTAAGCCATTCAGCTGCCCCTTTGCAATCTGAATTATTTTTGGAAGGAGATACAATATAAATAAAGTAGGTTAGAGGAGGAAAGAAGAATATGTAAAAACGGAGACATCCTGAATAACAGATGTATGAAGGTAGTGGCCTTTCTTGAAAACACTCTTAACACCTACTGGCCAATAGAACTTTCTGGTGGGGCACAGTCAGTTGAGCATCTGACTCTTGGTTTCAGCTCAGGTCATCATCTCAGGACTGTGGGATTGAGCCCCGTGTTGGCTCTGCATTCAGTGGGGAGTCAGCGTCCCCTCTCCCGCCCCTCCCCCTGCTCGCTCACTCTCATTCTCTCTCTCTCTAAAATAAATAAATAAATCTAAAAAAAAAAAAAAAA